ACAGCAAGCGGCCTTGGCGGCGACAGTTGCAGCAAAACGATGTCTGTTTCACGAGGAAATCAAAAACTAAACAAAACCCAAACCCTAAGGAGAGCGACGGCTGCTAATTATAGAGTCTTGGGTATCACCCCCCTGGACACGCCCCCTAATGGGCCCAAACACGATACACGGTCCAATGGACCAAAATATGGTGTCGCAGCACCCTGACAGATTCTGGACGCTAATTTGTTTCGATGATTCCTGTTGATTCTGAAGGTCTTTTGATGTGAAACCACTTGGATTGGCTTCCTTATCAAATTAGCTTTCCAACCATATGTGGATCGTCGAAAACAGAGTCTAGATGTGTCCTGGGTGACCAGTTTTAGGCAGACTGGTCCTAGAACCCAAGATGGGCTCCAACTTCAGTTGGACTAGGCCTCCACCATGGAAAAGATGAATTGGACGCCCATGCTAGACCTCCTCCTCTCCTTGGCATGTAGGCGATGAAGTAGTGATGTCCTCCTCATCCTCCCTTTCTTGAATTGAAGTCGTCCTCGACTAAAGTAAATCATCTCCTCCAATGGATGACAGCAACGATGGTTCCAGAAGAAGACGTTCATCTTAGCGCCCCATCCTTCGTAAAGGCGGCTGCCATGGTGGCTTCCCTACTAGAAATTCATCATCCATCTCCTACAAAAGGTTAGTACCAACAAGGGGCATAGCACTAGGAGTAGGACCAAGTGGACATATAGGCGATGTACAAGTTAAAGCATAACATGGTTCATTATGAACAGCAAGAACAGATTTAAGAGTAAATAAAACTTCTTTCATGTTACTTGAAGGTTCATTTAATGGTTTGCTAGAGACTTTATCAAGGCCTTTCTTTTTCTTTTCAGCAAGCTCCCTTTCATATTGCACAATTTCAGCAGGTGTTAAAGGAAGTAAAGCAATAGTCTTTCCTTTAAACATAAAAGTACATCTATTTTGCCTACCATGATGTACAATATTATTATCATATTGCCAAGTGCGGCCTAACAAAAGTGAACAAGCTTGCATAGGCATGACATCAAAATTAGCATAATCATGGTATGATCCGATAGAAAAATGCACACGAGCAGATTGTGTTACCTTTGCCTTACCACTATTATTGAACCACTGAACATGGTATGAATGTAGAAGAGCATGTGTAGATAAACCAAGAGTCTTGACAAGCTCAGAACTTACCAAGTTATTGCTGCTCCCTCCATCAATTATAGCACGAACACGAAAATTATTGACAATGAGAAACATTTGAAACAAATTATGGCGTTGTAGCTTGTCTACTGGCTCAACTTGTGTACTCAAAACACGCTGAACAAGGATTGATTTGTAGTCTGCAATGAATGCCACACTATCAATTACCTCATCAGGATCTTCAGCACTATCCACAAACTTATCTGCATAAAGATCAGTTGCAAGTGCAAATTCATTCTCTTCATCACTAGCACTAGCATACCCACCATCATCAGTAGCAATATATGCGCGTTTGCTAGGGCATTCTTTAGCAATATGTCCCATGCCCTAGCAGCGGTGGCACACAACTTTAGAAGAGCTGCTAGAGGAAGGTGTAACAGATCCACTGGAAGAAGGTGTGATAGGAGAACTCTTCTTTACAGGCGCTGGTGGTGTCTGCACATTAGAAAATTTACTCACCTCGCTTGGACGTGAAGGAATGGATGGAGTTGCGGATGGAGTCGTGGAACGCCTAGGTTGTCGTCCCTGTACTTCCCTTTTAGCTTTAATAGCATAATGATATAATTGGGAAAATCTAGTCTATTCTTTATAGTCAAGAACATCATGTATTTCACGATGCAAACCACCAAAAAATCTAGAACACTTATCCATTTCATCCTCTCGTATGTTACTACGTGCTAGACCAATTAAAAGCTTCTGATAATATTCCTCAACAGTCTTACTACCTTGATTTAAATCCTGCAGTTTTAATCGTAGATCACGCTGATAGTATGGAGGAACAAATCTCAATTTCATTCGTCGTTTAAGTGCAGTCCAAGTTTGAGGTATTTGAGCATTAGCATTAACATTAGCATTAACATTAACATTATTGCAAATATCATTCCACCAGGAAAGAGCAAAACTAGTAAACTCACTAGTATCAAGTCTAACTCTATATTCTTCCAATACTTAATGGGAGCTAATTTTTTGATCTACAACCATCTCTCAATCTAAATATGCTTTAGGATCAGCAAAACCAGAAAAAGGAGGTATCTTAAACTTGATTTTAGAGAAAGGATCATTATTACCTTGGAAACATAGTCATTGAAATCTGTAGGTGCGTCCTCGTTTCCTTGGCCGCTGCCTCTGGCTTTTCCTGACATGGTTAGTAGGAAGGAGAAGACAACACAAATAGTATTATCCCTACCAACTACTTAGGTTGTAGACAAGGAAAAACAAGGCACTCAAACTCTTAAGCGTCTTACCACGGTCTTACAAGTGTTCTTACCAAAGCAACAGGCGGTGCAATCGGTTAGTGACTGTGATACCATTGTAGCTCGAGTGTAACAGTGGCAAGGCGAACCTGTACTTCATTTGAAGAAAGTGGAGCTTGGACATGTACAATATAGTAGCAAGGAAAAACAATAGTCGCAACTGAATAGCAAAGCTGAATAAGTGTCCCGAGTACTTGTCTTAGTTGCTGGCCTATTAACGTTCCAAGTACTAAATGTATCAAGTGATGGGAACAACATGAATATTATTAGGAACAAGGCAGAAATTAGCACACGCAAACATAGTTCAAATGGCGCTCTCTATGTGCTCCTCTAGATATTGTTCCTCTTTTGCCTCTCTCTTTTTTCTATTTTTTTTGGGCTGTCGTTGTTTTTTTTGGAAATTTTTGACTTTTTTTCTTTTTTTATATTTTTTCTCTACTTAGGAGCACAAAAGAAGTAACCATAGAAAATATAAGCTTAAATAAGTGAAAGACGTGGCCTATGGAAATTTCAGAAGAAGTGCTCAAAATTGACAAAAAGCTTGTGACCACGAAAAGAGAATCTTGTGACCACTTTTTGACCAAAATAAAAATCTCCAACCCCAACAATATAGGGGATGGACGGATCCAAAAAAATGCTGATTGATTTTGATATATGGAACGTCGAAATCCAAGTTCGTATGCGAAAACTAGACCAGTTTTACGAACGAACTCCGAATTAGAGGACAAAACAGGAACAATGCGAGCAAAATTGGTCACGGCAGCAACGATTTGATGGAAACAGTGAAGACAAGTGGAACAAATTAGATGACGTAGACTAGGGTTTGATGGATACAAAGGAAACACAGCAAGACTTGAAGGTGTTCATGGATTATGATGAAAAACAAAGGGAAACACACAAACTGGACTAAAAAATGATCTAAAACCAGCAATCAGAACTTAACCTAGGACACAAACTCGACAACGCGAAACAAAAATGAAATTGCATGGCACAACGAGGTTATAGGATAGGGAATATGTGGTGGTATATATTTTTTTGGCTTTTATGGACTATAGGTAATGCAAAAACAGTAACAATCTAAAGGGGGAAACAAAGTTATACCTAACGGGCAACAAGGTCTCTGATACCACTTGATGTAGACAAAGCCCGATATTCCGAAAGGTATGATAGCGTCGATTGGTGGAGACTCAATATTCACGATTTAGGCTTCGAACCAAGACTGATTCAGACCCCCGCAACCGTTACACCACTGCTCCGTTGGTTATCAACCACGCGAACACGATTGACCTCACCAAGAAGGCTTTCCTACAAGCGAATCAAGAACACAAGCAAGAACGAGATGAACGCAATCTAAAATTGCAAATAAATATGAGGCTTATGAAAATAAGAAGGAGTTCAAGTCTTTATTCAAAAGCACTAATTGCCACAGGCGAACAAGATCAAGAACTGGAGCCCTGGTTCACAGCAAGCGTCCTTCCCGGCGATACTTGCAGCAAAACGACGTCTGTTTCACGAGGAAATCAAGAACTAAACAAAACCTAAACCCTAAGGAGAGCAATGGCTGCTAATTATAGAGTCTTGGACGTCACCCCCCTGGACGCACCCCCTAATGGGCCCAAACACGATACACGGTCCAACGGACCAAAATATGGTGTCGCAGCACCCTGATAGATTCTGGATGCTGACTTGTTTTGATGATTCCTATTGATTCTGAAGGTCTTTTCATGTGAGACCACTTGGATTAGCTTCCTTATAAAATTAGCTTTCTAACCATATGTGGATTGTCGAAAATGGAGTCTGGATGCATCCTGAGTGACCAGTTTAAGGCAGACTGGTCCTGGAACCCGAGATGGGCTCCAACTTCAGTTGGACTGGGCCTCCATCATGGAAAAGATGAATTGGACGCCCATGCTAGACCTCCTCCTCTCCTTGGCTTGTAGGCGACGAAGTAGTGATGTCCTCATCAGGGTAGGGTAGATGTCGAACCAAATAGCTTTTCTTTGATTTTCTTTATATGTGATGATCTGAACGGTGAAAGAGAAAAGGATGATACAATTAGTAGTTATAAATTTTATAGGTAATATTATATTGAGAACAAAGCTTTTAAATTTATCAATTTACTACTTTCAGATTTTTTAGAGAATTATAAACGTTGGGAGTAAGTAATTCGACTCTTTTTATTCCCTTGTAGGACCTTCTATGAATGTTCAGTTTTATATTATACAGAAGAAAGATACAAGGTGGTTGTTCTGAATTCTGATCAACTCCTACAATATTTTTGGATATTCAAGGTCTTGGCTTTCTAGTGCTACCTTTCTTCATCCACTTGAGATGCCCTTGGAGCAAAGCACTAGAAATTTACTCTTGAAATGTAAACACACTCGATGCTTAGGATCTTTATACCTTTCTTGATAGGCTTAAATCATGAGGCTTAGTGCTTTCTGCAGGCCTGGTTGCATACTCCAACTAGCTAATCCTATCAGCAATTTTGGTACCAAGATTTCTTGAGTCCATGGAAGCATTGCCAGATTCACATCACGTGAAACTCATAGACATATGCAAGGCTGACAGTGTTGACGTCTTTTGGGGGGTCGAAGTTGTTCCTAGCTTGCAACTGTCTGCACTTGGTGGTGAGGTGTTCTCCTTTGCAGACTGCCGCATTGACTGCCTTTTAGCTGAGGAAGACTGCCCTTTCTTTGCTATAGGGGGAGAGCTGTGCTTTGTCGGCTTTGAAAGCAGGGATGCCGGCTGAATCCTCCTTTTCTTGATAGAATCTGTGATGTCCTGATTCAAAATGGGAATTTCCTACACAGAACATGTACTTCAATTAGCAATTCGATAGCACATTTTCACGATAGAATTCTTCTATGGCAGTGTATTAGTCACCTTCAAAGTGGCATCAACGGCCGTCAAACTATCCATGCACAAATCCTGCTTCTACAATTGCAAAACTGCTCCAACCACTTGGTCGCTGCCCTCCATGTGGCACATCTCATTCATGGGCGCATTCATCCTGCGAGAAGGTCCAATGGCATCGGTGATGGCCGTGAGCTCCTCGGGCACGTGTACTACCTTGTCATTGGCGCTGTCACCACAATCCACCACTCCATCCTTCCAACCGCACCACACCTCCTCCGCTGGTGTCAATGGTTCATCCGTCATGCAGGAAGACTCCATAGCAGACAATGACCACGAGGCGGCACCACCATCCTCTACCGCCTCGAGATCACCGCCAGCAACATCATCACTGGTGGCGGCATGGTCCTCACTCTTGCGCTTCTTCCTAGCATAGTGCGCCTTGAAGAATGCCTTCTTCTGCGCGACTGAGCCCGAGCGCGCCTGCACCACCACCTTCTCGAGGTAGCGGTTGTGCGTGAAGGCGGACCACTTCCCCCATTTGAGTGGCTCCATGAGGAAGCGGCCGAAGGAGACTGACTCCCCGAGAGCTGACATCATGTCCGCCTTCCAGTTCTGGATCCCACCCCACGCACGCCCAGAAGCATAAGCTATCATGAAATCGGAAGACATCCCACCAGCAGGAGGAAGACATGGAATAGCACCGGTAGGAGGAGGACGAGATGCTTACCCAGCTATCTTTGCCGGAGATCTCCGGCTCCGACGAGTGCGTCAGCTCCGGCTGCGGTGGCGAGAAGTCTGGCTCGGCTCCCATTGGAGGAGACCACAGAGAGATTGGGTTTGGATAGGATCTATGTGAGAACTGACCCACTCCCTTGGGAAAATCAAGCAACACGCGATTGAGGGGGCCAAAGCAATCGATATCAGATTGGTGCAATGAGCGCCGCCTTTTCGAATTCGGGTGGGTGGGGAGGCCGAGAGGAAGCAGCCAGTGTAATTTTGCAGCAGCTTTCGGTGGTGGGTTCGATTTGAATTGCTGGCAAGTGTACGTTACGGGAGCTAGACGAGATGGACCGCGCAACCGAGGCGCCTAGGTGACCGTTGCACAGTTCTTTGACCGTTGCACAGAGAGAGCAGACTCGGCCGAGCACTCAAGACGCGCTAAATTTAGCTATTGTTAAAGTAAAAATATACTCGATAAATGACTCTTCAAATTTAATAGCTCTACATCCCACCTTATTCACTCTTTACTTTTGGATAGTCTATCTCACTAGCCATATAATCTCTTGGTTTTACAGAGTCTGTTGAAATACTCTAGTATTTTTTTAAAAAACTATTTTAGAGAATAGCTAAATGAGTAAATTTGGCTAGTCTTTTTTGTCTAGTCTCTTAGAGATGCTCTAATACAAGTCCAACACCTCTCCAAAGCCAATGTTATCTCTTTCCTTCCCCATCCACTTGACCATCCCTCGTGTTATGCGTCGCGACTCGTGAACTCACAATCCCACGCGGCCTTCGCTGTCCACCGCTGTGATTCCCTGGCGGGCTCCGATATCCGCCATCGTCGCTTCTCGTTTACTGCATCGTGATTCCTTCATGGCTCTAGTATCTCCACCGCCACCACCATCGCTCCATAGTCCGCGTCGACGATGTTATTGCTGGCTTCCCGCTCGCTGTTTCCTCTTGGACTACCTGATTACATGAGCTAACCAAATAAAATCCGTTATCCATTAAACTTAACAGATCACAGTGGCATCGGATTCCATTGGCGTTCTCGTTCCCATGGCATGAACCAAACATCACCGTAAAATGAGAGACAACTATTGTACTTCGTTTTTTCTAGTCTAAACTATCCTGTCAATGTATGTGTACCATTATCATCACCCAACAAAAATCATCCATGTGCCCCCAAGAGCCAAACAGCCAGTCCTCGTCTCCTCCTATACAAAAGAAACAAACATCTCCCTCTGACTAATCTCATGTACAACTAAAATAAATAAAACTAACACACTTTTTTCATGCGATAAAGTTTTGGGTCATCGCTGATGTAGACAAGGCCCGATCTTCTAAAAGGTATGATAGCGTCGATTGGTGGAGACTCGACGTTCATGATCTAGGCTTCGAACCAAGACTGATTCGGACCCCCGCAACCATTACACCACTGCTCTGTTGGTTATCAACCATGCGAACGCGATTGACCTCGCCGAGAAGGCTTTCCTGCAAGCGAATCGAGAATACAAGTAAGAACGGGATGAACGCAATCTAAAATTGTAAATAAATATAAGGCTTATGATAACAAGAAGGAGTTTAAGTCTTTATTCGAAAGGACTAATCGCCACAAGTGAACAAGATCAAGAACTGGGGCCCTGGTTCACAGCAAGCAGCCTTGGCGGCACAGTTGCAGCAAAACGACATCTGTTTCATAAGGAAATCAAGAACTAAACAAAACCCCCAAACCCTAAAAAGAGTGACAGCTGCTAATTATAGAGTCTTGGGTGTCACCCCCCTGGATGCGCCCCCTAATGGGCCCAAACACGATACACGGTCCAACGGACCAAAAGACAGTGTCGCAGCACCCTATTCTAGATGCTGACTTGTTTCGACGATTCCCATTAATTCTGAAGGTCTTTTGATGTGAGACTACATGGATTGGCTTCCTTATCAAATTAGCTTTCCAACCATATGTGGATCGTCGAAAACAGAGTCCGGATGCATCCTAGGTGACCAGTTTAAGGCAGACTGGTCCTGGAGGCCGAGGCAGACTCGAACTTGAGTTGCTTTGGGCCTCCACCTCGGGGACTCGAACCGAATTAGCCTCGGGCCTCCTTCTTAACTTGGACACCCTTGCTGGCCTCCTACCCCTCCATGCCATGTGCCAAACATGATTATATGCATGGGTGTCATGTCCTCATCATCATCCCCTTCTTAACAAAAAGCCATCCTCGGTATCGATTTTGTTTGAAGTCGATCCTGCACAACATGAGGACAAATGTGGTTTCCAAAATAATAGGAATGGACAATGTTGTGAGAAGTAATGTGACCATGTTTTCAAGTTTGTAGCGTGTTATCTTGCATAAAAATTTCAGCAAGCATGTAGACTCCTTGATCCGAATGCACACGATGTATGTCAACACTATCCTACAAAAGATTAGAACTAACCAAAGACAATGTAGGAATAGATGGTCTAGCAGACATAGGTAGCAACCAACAATGCTCCTCTTCTTGGAAGTGAACTTGTTTCTTTGAGGAACATGAGAAAATATTTGTATTATTATGGTTGCCCTCTAAACAATCATAATCTTGTACAACAAAAGGAAAATTCATATTACTATGAATGTATACTTGATATATCATATATTGTCCCTTGTTGTTATATTTACCAATAACATGATATGTGTGTTTAGAAAACCAAGGCAAATCAGCATATTTAAAAAGGCTCTCCTCCAAACAATCTAGGTTACACAAAACATCAAATTCAATGTAATCCAAAGTATGTAAAGAAGACAACAGTTTGAGCTCATCAATTTTAGTAGCAATAGGAATAACATGTTTATTTGTAGCACAAGTGACTGGTTCCAAAATATGTAAAACAGAAGCATCATCAACCAATTCATCTTTATCACAAGGAACATCAAGCAAATTATCATGGGACAAAGATAAATCAAGAGAGGGTTCCACTAACAATTGGTCTATGATAGCATGGTTTGTGGAAAAATTTAGTACATTAAAACAATTCTCACCTTCCGTGAGTGTAGCACCATGGGCATTACCTGTGTTCTCAGCAAGAGTAATAGGTGCATTGTGAAGTGATGGTTCTAAATTTATATATGAGGTTGTGAGCTCCTCATTTTCTTCCATGTCATCCTCTTGCTTATGTACATTATCCTACGGAAGGTTAGTCATAGCAAGAGGAATAACAATAGACTCTTCCTCTAAATAGTGCACCTCAGCATATGAAGTCAAAACAGGAGGTGGATTAATAGAGGTTTCTCGTATAAGGAGTTTCATATCATTCCAAGTTTGAGGTTTATCAGAAGGATATAAAGACTCCCACCAAGATAAAGCAGAATGTCGCAAAAACACTAGCGGCATTTGTTACCTTCCTCCTTGGACACATAAAGTGAGTAGCAAATATGTTATCTATGGCAATTTCCCACTCTATGTACTCATCAGCACCTATGCCATCATAAGTCGGTGGATACAAACAACCTGTCATTGTTAGAAGACAGCAAAAGACAACACAAAAGTATTATCCCTATCAACTACTTAGGTTGTGGATAAGGAAAAACAAAGCACTCAACTCTCAAACGTCTTACCATAGTCTTATAAGTGTTCTTACCAAAGCAACAGGCGGTGCAATCGGTCGGTGAGTGTGATACCATTATAGCTTGAGTGTAACAGTTGCAAGGCGAACCTGTACTTGGTTAGAAGAAAGTGGAGCTTGGACAGGCATAATATAATAGCAAGGAATAGCAATATTCGCAACAGAATAACAAAGCTAAATAAGTATCCCGAGTACTTGTCTTTGTTGCTGGCCTACTCATGTTCCAAGTACCAGATGTATCAAGTGATGTGAACAGTAGGAATATGATTAGGAATAAGGCAGAAATCAGCACACACAAACACAGCTCAAATGGCGCTCTCTATGTGGTCCTCTAGATATTGTTCCACTTTTGCCCCTCTCTTGTTTCTCTATTTTTGGGCTGTCGTTGTTTTTTTGGGATTCTTTGACTTTTTCTTTTTCTTTTTTTGATATTTTATCTTCACTTAGGAGCACAAAAGAAGTAACCACATAAAATATGAGCTTAAACAAGTGAAAGACGTGGCCTATGGAAACTTCAGAAGACGTGCTCAAAATTGACAAAAAGCTTGTGACCACGAAATGAGAATGTTGTGACCAGTTTTTGGCCAAAATAAAAATTTCCGAACCTGACAAAGCGAGGGATGGACGGATCCAAATTTTTTTTGATTGATTTTGATATATGGAACATCGAAATCCGAGTTCGTATGCGAAAACTAGACCAGTTTTATGAACTGACTCCGAATTAGAGGACAAAACGGGAACAATGCGCGCAAAATTGGTCACGACAGCAAGGATTTGATGGAAACAGTGAAGACAAGTGTAACAAATTAGATGGCGTGGACTAGGGTTTGATGGATACAAAGGAAACACAGCAAGACTTGAAGGTGTTCATGGATTATGATGAAAAATAAAGGGAAAAACACAAACTGGACTAAAAACGATCTAAAACCAGCAACCAGAACTTGCCCTAGGACACAAACTCAACAACACAAAACAGGGACAGAATTGCATGGCACAATGAGGCTATAGGACAGGGAATATGTGGCGGTGTATATTTTTTTAGCTTTTTGTGGAATCTAGGTAAAACAAAAACAGTAATAATCTAAAGGGGAAAATAAAGTTATACCTAATGGGCAACAAGGGCTCTGATACCACTTGTGTAGACAAGGCCTGATCTTTCAAAAGGTATGATAGCGTCGATTGGTGGAGACTCGACGTTCACGATCTAGGCTTCGAACCAAGACTGATTTGGACCCCAGCAACTATTACACCACTGCTCTGTTGGTTATCAACCACGCGAACGCGATTGACCTCGCCGAGGAGGCTTTCCTACAAGCGAATCGAGAACACAAGCAAGAACGGGATGAACGCAATCTAAAATTGCAAATAAATATGAGGCTTATGATAACGAGAAGGAGTTTAAGTCTTTATTCGAAAGGACTAGTCGCCACAGGCGAACAAGATCAAGAACTGGGGCCCTAGTTCACAGAAAGCAGCCTTAGCGGCACAGT